AAACGAACAAAAAAGGAAAAACCTCGATTTTTGAAAAAAGTAAGAATGCATCGTAACTAACAGCATGGGACAGTGCAATAGAGGTATGATTCTCGATTTTGGGGCGAGAGGTCCCGGGTTCAATTCCCGGCTGCACACAGATTACTAACAGAATAAATATGGTTTCTTTTAGAAAGACAGCAAACACTGAGCAACCTACAATTTTTATTAAATTCACAAAAAAACAGACAAAAACTAAACATTCTTTTTTTTGTAAAACAAGTAGGAATGCATCGATGCTAGAACAAGGGACAGTGGTCTAAAGTTCCGATTCTTGATTAGAGCGGTAAAAATTTCGGGTTTAAACCGCGGAGGTCTCATTTAAGCAAGCAGAAAAAAAATAACATTATCTTATAAAAAGGCTGCAAACACAAAGCAACTTAGAAAGAAACTATTGAACTCACTAATACGAGGAAAAACTAACAAGAAAGGAAAAATCTCGATTTGTGAAAAAAGGTAGGAATGCATCGTAACTAACAGCATGGGACAGTGGAAGAGGGGTAGGATTCTCGCTTTTGGGGCGAGAGGTCTCGGGTTCAATTCCCGGCTGACCCCAATATACTAACATTAAAAAATTATACTTGCTAGTAGAAAAACAGTGCAACTCCCGGCTACCCCAGTTTACTATCAAAATGAAAACTTCTAGTAGAAAGACAGCAAACACAAAGCAACCTACAGTAATTACTAAACTCTCAAAAAACAAATGAAAACGGACAAAAACTGTCTATTCTTTTTTGTGAAACACGTAGGAAGGCATCGATGCTAAAACATGGGAGAGTGGTCTAAAGTTCCGAGTCTTGATTAGAGCTGTAAAAATTCTGGGTTTAAACCGCGGATGGCTCATTTAAGCAGCAGAAAGAAAGAACGTTTTCTTATAAAAAGGCTGCAAACACAAAGCAACTTAGAAAGAAACTATTGAACTCACTAATACGAGGAAAAACGAACAAAAAAGGAAAAACCTCGATTTTTGAAAAAAGTAAGAATGCATCGTGACTAACAGCTTGGGACAGTGGAATAGAGGAATGATTCTCGATTTTGGGGCGAGAGGTCCCGGGTTCAATTCCCGGCTGTCCCCAGATTACTAACAGAATAAATATGGTTTTTAGTAGAAAGACAGCAAACACTGAGAAACCTACAATTTTTATTAAATTCACAAAAAAACAGACAAAAACTAAACATTCTTTTTTTGTAAAACAAGTAGGAATGCATCGATGCTAGAACAAGGGACAGTGGTCTAAAGTTCCGATTCTTGATTAGAGCGGTAAAAATTTCGGGTTTAAACCGCGGATGTCTCATTTAAGCTAGCAGAAAAAAATAACATTATCTTATAAAAAGGCTGCAAACACAAAGCAACTTAGAAAGAAACTATTGAACTCACTAATACGAGGAAAAACTAACAAGAAAGGAAAAATCTCGATTTGTGAAAAAAGGTAGGAATGCATCGTAACTAACAGCATGGGACAGTGGAAGAGAGGTAGGATTCTCGCTTTTGGGGCGAGATGTCCCGGGTTCAATTCCCGGCTGACCCCAATATACTAACATTAAAAAATTATACTTGCTAGTAGAAAAACAGTGCAACTCCCGGCTACCCCAGTATACTATCAAAATGAAAACTTCTAGTAGAAAGACAGCAAACACAAATCAACCTACAGTAATTACTAAACTCTCAAAAAACAAATGAAAACGGACAAAAACTGTCTATTCTTTTTTGTGAAATAAGTAGGAAGGCATCGATGCTAAAACATGGGAGAGTGGTCTAAAGTTCCGAGTCTTGATTAGAGCTGTAAAAATTCTGGGTTTAAACCGCTGATGGCTCATTTAAGCAGCAGAAAGAAAGAACATTTTCTTTTAAAAAGGCTGCAAACACAAAGCAACTTAGAAAGAAACTATTGAACTCACTAATACGAGGAAAAACGAACAAAAAAGGAAAAACCTCGATTTTTGAAAAAAGTAAGAATGCATCGTAACTAACAGCATGGGACAGTGGAATAGAGGTATGATTCTCGATTTTGGGGCGAGAGGTCCCGGGTTCAATTCCCGGCTGTCCCCAGATTACTAACAGAATAAATATGGTTTCTAGTAGAAAGACAGCAAACACTAAGCAACCTACAATTTTTATTAAACTCACAAGAAAAACAGACAAAAACTAAACATTCTTTTTTTGTAAAACAAGTAGGAATGCATCGATGCTAGAACAAGGAACAGTGATTTAAAGTTCCGATTCTTGATTAGAGCGGTAAAATTTTCGGGTTTAAACCGCAGATGTCTCATTTAGGCTAGCAGAAAAAAATAACATTATCTTATAAAAAGGCTGCAAACACAAAGCAACTTAGAAAGAAGTTATTGAACTCACTGTTACGAGGAAAAACCAACAAAAAAGGAAAAATCTCGATTTGTGAAAGAAAGGTAGGAATGCATCGTAACTAACAGCATGGGAGAGTGGAACAGAGGTATGATTCTCGCATTGGTGCGAGAGGTCCCGGGTTCAATTCCCGGCTGTCCCCAAAATACTAACATAAAAAAAAATATACTTGCTAGTAGAAAAACAGTGCAACTCCCGGCTACCTCAGTATACTAACGAAATAAAAATTTCTAGCAGAAAGACAGCAAACACAAAGCAACCTACAATTTTTATTAAACTCAAAAAAAACAGACAAAAACTGAACATTCTTTTTTTGTAAAACAAGTAGGAATGCATCGATGCTAGAACAAGGGACAGTGGTCTAAAGTTCCGATTCTTGATTAGAGCGGTAAAAATTTTGGGTTTAAACCGCGGATGTCTCAATTAAGCCAGCAGAAAAAAATTACATTATCTTAAAAAAAGGCTGCAAACACAAAGCAACTTAGAAAGAAACTATTGAACTCACTAATACGAGGAAAAACTAAGAAGAAAGGAAAATTCTCGATTTGTGAAAAAAGGTAGGAATGCATCGTAACTAACAGCATGGGACAGTGGAAGAGAGGTAGGATTCTCGCTTTTGAGGCGAGAGGTCTCGGATTCAATTCCCGGCTGACCCCAATATTCTAACATTAAAAAATTATACTTGCTAGTAGAAAAACAGTGCAACTCCCGGCTACCCCAGTATACTAACAAAATGAAAACTTCTAGTAGAAAGACAGCAATCACTAAGCAACCTACAGTAATTACTAAACTCTCAAAAAACAAATGAAAACGGACAAAAACTGGCTATTCTTTTTTGTGAAACAAGTAGGAAGGCATCGATGCTAAAACATGGGAGAGTGGTCTAAAGTTCCGAGTCTTGATTAGAGCGGTAAAATTTCTGGGTTTAAACCGCGGATGGCTCATTAAAGCTAGCAGAAAAAAAGAACGTTTTCTTATAAAAAGGCTGCAAACACAAAGCAACTTAGAAAGAAACTATTGAACTCACTAATACGAGGAAAAACGAACAAAAAAGAAAAACCTCGATTTTTGAAAAAAGTAAGAATGCATCGTAACTAACAGCATGGGACAGTGGAATAGAGGTATGATTCTTGATTTTGGGGCGAGAGGTCCCGGGTTCAATTCCCGGCTGTCCCCAGATTACTAACAGAATAAAAATGTTTTCTAGTAGAAAGACAACAAACACTGAGCAACCTAAAATTTTTATTGAACTCACAAAAAAACAAATGAAAACGGACAAAATCTATCTATTCTTTTTTGTGAAACAAGTAGGAAGGCATCGATGCTAAAACATGGGAGAGTGGTCTAAAGTTCCCAGTCTTGATAAGAGCGGTAAAAATTCCGGGTTTAAACCGCGGATGTCTCATTTAAGCTAGCAGAAAAAAATAACATTATCTTATAAAAAGGCTGCAAACACAAAGCAACTTAGAAAGAAGATCTTGAACTCACTAATACGAGGAAAAACCAACAAAAAAGGAAAAATCTCGATTTGTAAAAAAAGGTAGGAATGCATCGTAACTAACATCATGGGAGAGTGGAACAGAGGTATGATTCTCGCATTGGTGCGAGAGGTCCCGCGTTCAATTCCCGGCTGTCCCCAAAATACTAACATAAAAAAATTATACTTGCTAGTAGAAAAACAGTGCAACTCCCGGCTAGCTCAGTATACTAACGAAACAAAAATTTCTAGCAGTAAGACAGCAAACAAAAAGCAACCTACAATTTTTATTAAACTCACAAAAAAACAGACAAAAATAAAACCTTCTTTTTTTTGTAAAACAAGCAGGCATGCATCGATGCTAGAACAAGGGACAGTGGTCTAAAGTTCCGATTCTTGATTAGAGCGGTAAAAATTTCGGGTTTAAACCGCGGATGTCTCATTTAAGCTAGCAGAAAAAAATAACATTATCTTATAAAAAGGCTGCAAACACAAAGCAACTTAGAAAAAACTATTGAACTCACTAATTCGAGGAAAAACTAAAAAAAAAGGAAAAATCTCGCTTAGTGAAAAAAGGTAGGAATGCATCGTAATAACAGCATGGGACAGTGGAACAGAGGTATGATTCTCGCATTGGTGCGAGAGGTCCCGGGTTCAATTCCCGGCTGTCCCCAATATACTAACATTAAAAAATTATACTTGCTAGTAGAAAAACAGTGCAACTCCCGGCTACCCCAGTATACTATCAAAATGAAAACTTCTAGTAGAAAGACAGCAAACACAAAGCAACCTACAGTAATTACTAAACTCTCAAAAAACAAATGAAAACGGACAAAAACTGTCTATTCTTTTTTGTGAAACAAGTAGGAAGGCATCGATGCTAAAACATGGGACAGTGGTCTAAAGTTACGATTCTTGATTAGAGCGGTAAAAATTCTGGGTTTGAAAAGCAGATGTCTCATTTAGGCTAGCAGAAAAAAATTCATTTTTCTAATAAAAAGACAGCAAACATAAAGCAACTTAGAAAGAAAGTATTAAACTCACTAATACGAGGAAACACAAACAAAAAAGGAATAATCTTGATTTGCGAAAATGGTAGGAATGCATCTAAAATAACACCATTGGACAGTGGTCTAGTGGTTTGATTCTGGCTTAGGATGCGAGAGGTCCCGGGTTCAATTCCCGGCTGTCCCCAGATTACTAACAGAAAAAACATGGTTTCTAGTAGAAAGACAGCAAAAACTGAGCAACCTACAATCATTATTAAACTCACAAAAAACAATTGAAAATTGACAAAATGGAAACATTCATTTTTTTGTGAAATAAGTAGGAATGCATCGATGCTAAAACAAGGGACAGTGGTCTAAAGTTACGATTCTTGATTAGAGCGGTAAGAGTTCCGGGTTTTGAAAGCGGATGTCTCATTTAAGCTAGCAGAAAAAAAAATAGTTTTTCTAATAAAAAGACAGCAAACACAAAACAACTTAGAAACAAAGTATTAAACTCACTAGTACGAGGAAACACAAACAAAAAAGGAATAATCTTGATTTGTGAAAAAGGTAGGAATGCATCGTAACTAACAGCATGGGACAGTGGAAGAGAGGTAGGATTCTCGCTTTTGGGGCGAGAGGTCCCGGGTTCAATTCCCGGCTGACCCCAATATACTAACATTAAAATATTATACTTGCTAGTAGAAAAACAGTGCAACTCCCGGCTACCCCAGTATACTATCAAAATGAAAACTTCTAGTAGAAAGACAGCAAACACAAAGCAACCTACAGTAATTACTAAACTCTCAAAAAACAAATGAAAACGGACGAAAACTGTCTATTCTTTTTTGTGAAACAAGTAGGAAGGCATCGATGCTAAAATATGGGACAGTGGTCTAAAGTTCCGATTCTTGATTAGAGCGGTAAAAATTTCGGGTTTAAACCGCGGATGTTTCATTTAAGCTAGCAGAAAAAAAATAACATTATCTTATAAAAAGGCTGCAAACACAAAGCAACTTAGAAAGAAACTATTGAACTCACTAATACGAGGAAAACTGAACAAAAAAGGAAAAACCTCGATTTTTGAAAAAAGTAAGAATGCATCGTAACTAACAGCATGGGGCAGTGCAATAGAGGTATGATTCTCGATTTTGGGGCGAGAGGTCCCGGGTTCAATTCCCGGCTGCACCCAGATTACTAACAGAATAAAAATGGTTTCTAGTAGAAAGACAGCAAACACTGAGCAACCTACAATTTTTATTAAACTCACAAAAAACAGACAAAAACTAAACATTCTTTTTTTTGTAAAACAAGTAGGAATGCATCGATGCTAGAACAAGGGACAGTGGTCTAAAGTTCCGATTCTTGATTAGAGCGGTAAAAATTTCGGGTTTAAACCGCGGAAGTCTCATTTAAGCTAGCAGAAAAAAATAACATTGTCTTATAAAAAGGCTGCAAACACAAAGCAACTTAGAAAGAAACTATTGAACTCACTAATACGAGGAAAAACTAACAAGAAAGGAAAAATCTCGATTTGTGAAAAAGGTAGGAATGCATCGTAACTAACAGCATGGGAAAGTGGAAGAGAGGTAGGATTCTCGCTTTTGGGGCGAGAGGTCCCGGGTTCAATTCCCGGTTGACCCCAATATACTAACATTAAAAAATTATACTTGCTAGTAGAAAAACAGTGCAACTCCCGACTACCCCAGTATACTATCAAAATGAAAACTTCTAGTAGAAAGACAGCAAACACAAAGCAACCTACAGTAATTACTAAACTCTCAAAAAACAAATGGAAACGGACAAAAACTATCTATTCTTTTTTGTGAAACAAGTAGGAAGGCATCGATGCTAAAACATGGGAGAGTGGTCTAAAGTTCCGAGTCTTGATTAGAGCTGTAAAAATTCTGGGTTTAAACCGCGGATGGCTCATTTAAGCAGCAAAAAGAAAGAACGTTTTCTTATAAAAAGGCTGCAAACACAAAGCAACTTAGAAAGAAACTATTGAACTCACTAATACGAGGAAAATAGAACGAAAAAGGAAAAACCTCGATTTTTGAAAAAAGTAAGAATGCATCGTAACTAACAGCATGGGACAAGGGAATAGAGGTATGATTCTCGATTTTGGGGCGAGAGGTCCCGGGTTCAATTCTCGGCTGTCCCCAGATTACAAACAGAATAAATATGTTTTCCAGTTGAAAGACAGCAAACACTGAGCAACCTACAATTTTTATTAAACTCACAAGAAAAACAGACAAAAACTAAACATTCTTTTTTTGTAAAACAACTAGGAAGGCATCGATGCTAAAACATGGGAGAGTGGTCTAAAGTTCCGAGTCTTGATAAGAGCGGTAAAAATTCCGGGTTTAAACCGCGGATGTCTCATTTAAGCTAGCAGAAAAAAAATAACATTATCTTATAAAAAGGCTGCAAACACAAAGCAACTTAGAAAGAAGATATTGAACTCACTAATACGAGGAAAAACTAACAAAAAAGGAAAAATCTCGATTTGTGAAAAAAGGTAGGAATGCATCGTAACTAACAGCATGGGAGAGTGGAACAGAGGTATGATTCTCGCATTGGTGCGAGAGGTCCCGGGTTCAATTCCCGGCTGTCCCCAAAATACTAACATAAAAAAAATTATACTTGCTAGTAGAAAAACAGTGCTACTCCCGGCTACCTCAGTATACTAACAAAACAAAAATTTCTAGCAGTAAGACAGCAAACACAAAGCAACCTACAATTTTTATTAAACTCACAAAAAAACAGACAAAAATAAAACATTCTTTTTTTTTGTAAAACAAGTAGGAATGCATCGATGCTAGAACGAGGGACAGTGGTCTAAAGTTCCGATTCTTGATTAGAGCGGTAAAAATTTCGGGTTTAAACCGCGGATGTCTCATTTAAGCTAGCAGAAAAAAAATAACATTATCTTATAAAAAGGCTGCAAACACAAAGCAACTTAGAAAAAAACAATTGAACTCACTAATTCGAGGAAAAACTAACAAAGAAGGAAAAATCTCGCTTAGTGAAAAAAGGTAGGAATGCATCGTACTAACAGCATGGGACAGTGGAACAGAGGTATGATTCTCGCATTGGTGCGAGAGGTCCCGGGTTCAATTCCCGGCTGTCCCCAACATACTAACATAAAAAAAATTACACTTGCTGGTAGAAAAACAGTGCAACTCCGGCTACCTCAGTATACTAACAAAATAAAAATTTCTAGTAGAAAGACCGCAAACACAAAGTAACCTACAATATTTATTAAACTCACAAAAAAAACAAATGAAAACGGACAAAAACTGAACATTCTTTTTTTGTAAAACAAGTAGGAATGCATCGATGCTGGAACAAGGGACAGTGGTCTAAAGTTACGATTCTTGATTAGAGCGGTAAAAATTCTGGGTTTGAAAAGCAGATGTCTCATTTAGGCTAGCAGAAAAAAATTATTTTTCTAATAAAAAGACAGCAAACACAAAGCAACTTAGAAAGAAGATATTGAACTCACTGTTACGAGGAAAAACCAACAAAAAAGGAAAAATCTCGATTTGTGAAAAAAAAGGTAGGAATGCATCGTAACTAACAGCATGGGAGAGTGGAACAGAGGTATGATTCTCGTATTGGTGCGAGAGGTCCCGGATTCAATTCCCGGCTGTCCCCAAAATACTAACATAAAAAAAATTATACTTGCTAGTAGAAAAACAGTGCAACTCCCGGCTACCTCAGTATACTAACGAAATAAAAATTTCTAGCAGAAAGACAGCAAACACAAAGCAACCTACAATTTTTATTAAACTCACAAAAAAAAACAGACAAAAACTAAACATTCTTTTTTTGTAAAACAAGTAGGAATGCATCGATGCTAGAACAAGGAACAGTGATCTAAAGTTCCGATTCTTGATTAGAGCGGTAAAAATTTCGGGTTTAAACCGCAGATGTCTCATTTAAGCCAGCAGAAAAAAATAACATTATCTTATAAAAAGGCTGCAAACACAAAGAAACTTAGAAAGAAGATATTGAACTCACTGTTACGAGGAAAAACCAACAAAAAAGGAAAAATCTCGATTTGTGAAAAAAAAGGTAGGAATGCATCGTAACTAACAGCATGGGAGAGTGAAACAGAGGTATGATTCTCGCATTGGTGCGAGAGGTCCCGGATTCAATTCCCGGCTGTCCCCAAAATACTAACATTAAAAAAATTATACTTGCTAGTAGAAAAACAGTGCAACTCCCGGCTACCTCAGTATACTAACGAAATAAAAATTTCTAGCAGAAAGACAGCAAACACAAAGCAACCTACAATTTTTATTAAACTCACAAAAAAAAACAGACAAAAACTATCTATTCTTTTTTTGTGAAACAAGTAGGAAGGCATCGATGCTAAAACATGGGAGAGTGGTCTAAAGTTCCGAGTCTTGATAAGAGCGGTAAAAATTCCGGGTTTAAACCGCGGATGTCTCATTTAAGCTAGCAGAAAAAAAATAACATTATCTTATAAAAAGGCTGCAAACACAAAGCAACTTAGAAAGAAGATATTGAACTCACTAATACGAGGAAAAACTAACAAAAAAGGAAAAATCTCGATTTGTGAAAAAAGGTAGGAATGCATCGTAACTAACACAATGGGAGAGTGGAACAGAGGTATGATTCTCGCATTGGTGCGAGAGGTCCCGGGTTCAATTCCCGGCTGTCCCCAAAATACTAACATAAAAAAAATTATACTTGCTAGTAGAAAAACAGTGCTACTCCCGGCTACCTCAGTATACTAACAAAACAAAATTTTCTAGCAGTAAGACAGCAAACACAAAGCAACCTACAATTTTTATTAAACTCACAAAAAAAACAGACAAAAATAAAACATTCTTTTTTTTGTAAAACAAGTAGGAATGCATCGATGCTAGAACAAGGGACAGTGGTCTAAAGTTCCGATTCTTGATTAGAGCGGTAAAAATTTCGGGTTTAAACCGCGGATGTCTCATTTAAGCTAGCAGAAAAAAATAACATTATCTTATAAAAAGGCTGCAAACACAAAGCAACTTAGAAAAAAACTATTGAACTCACTAAATCGAGGAAAAACTAACAAAAAAGGAAAAATCTCGCTCAGTGAAAAAAGGTAGGAATGCATCGTACTAACAGCATGGGACAGTGGAACAGAGGTATGATTCTCGCATTGGTGCGAGAGGTCCCGGGTTCAATTCCCGGCTGTC